GTCGTTTTTGCAAAAGTTTCAGGTATTTTATTACGAATTTAGTATTGACACGCTTCATACCCAAAAACATCAAAATAAGCTGAGTCGATCCATTAGAGATGATTTCCAAGCACTGTTTCCTCAACTTTTTCGATGTCATCGTCGTTAACAGAGGTAAATGGACGACTCTTTTTTTAATTTTAGCTCACCTAATCCGAAAAAGTCCTGATTATGTCTTTTATCACTAGTGACCCTAAATTAATGAAGAAGGTCCATTCCGAGAAGGCTTTACATCTGAGATTTTTACGAAATAAAATTGATCCCTGGAAGTTTAGTACGAAAATTTGTCTAAATTTTCCAGCAGCAAATGTTTTCTCTTCCTATAAAATCCCTATGTTGCTTCCTGCAGCAACAGTTTTAGCTCCAACTGTTTAGTAGCTATTAGAATATGCCTGCAGCACAAACATATGTGGCTAGCTACTCGCTCAGCCGACGACATTTGGCATATGGGGTTTCGCGCCTGCATTGAAATTCGATTTGGCTTTGAGGGTGAAGTGCGAACCTCATACAACAACACCAGAGCCACGTCATATCGGCAAATGAATTGCTGACGTGCGCACATTCAAGTGTGGGTGCTAGCAATAGCTGTACAAGCCGCATGGAAGGCCGCTGCCAACCTGAGGCTTGCCACAGCGGGCTTTACTCGGCGGGGCACTTTATGGAGGATTAAATTTCGTATCAGCAACAATAAAACGGCAAAGACGTTGTATGCATAACATTATATGTGTATTTGTGTGTGTACAAATTGTTTGATTGTCGCAGTTTCAGTGCGCATTGTTGCAGGTTGCAGGTGCGCGGTGTGATTGCGTTGGTTGCACGCTTACAGTTTTTAATTGCTCCATCTTGTTTGGTGGCAGCAATCGGAAACGATCGATTGCTGTGCCACACAAAGTAAAAACGTGCAATTAGATGCAATTGTGTGTGTGTGTGTTTACATATTTATATATAAAGTTTATTGCTTTCAATAGCCACATACATATGCTCCAAATACCAGAAAGAAAAAACACTGCCCACAAATAAAACGTGCAAACGCCCGCGAAAACATGCACACATTACATACAACTAACAACAAATATGCACACGTATGTAATTTGCATTAATTTAATGTAATGCAAGTATTTTGAAAATAAGTACAACCAGTTCGAAAACTGTTCAGTCTGTCCACTGAAATTATCTCTGAAAATTCACCTGTTAGTGTGTATGTAGGTGCCACACTCGATTTCAGCGAAGTGTCATGCTTGTGGCAGGGCACATTTGTTGCATGTCGCCATAATGTTGTTGCAGGTGGTGCTCCATTTGCATATGTACATGTGTGCGTGTGTTAAATGAATTAATGCACCTTGACACCTACACATGCCACAGGTGAGTATGTGGTCACAGCGCTGGCAAAAATTCAGTAATTATTCAAGATAAAAAATATGTGGCAATGCAGAAAATATTGTGCACAGCACACAATTAAATTGCAATCATTTATTTGACAAAAGTCAATAGACAAAATAAAACGTGAAGTTATTTCGAGCTTTAGCTGAAGCTCGATAACGGCAATAACAAAAATTAATGCTGAGGATATTATTTTGAAAAAACCAAACCTGTGCTTACATAGAACCTTTAAGCATGAGAAGTTAAAAAAATTTACTCAAAGTATTGACCATTGCTATTACACATTTTGGTCACCTTTTTGCCAATAGAAATATTCGTCTTTTGAAGCAAACCAATCAGACATCCATTTTCGACTTCTCCGTTAGAATTGAAGTGCTGCTCAACCAAAGCGTGTCCCATCGATGAAAACAAATAGTAATCGGAAGGGGCCAAGTCTGGGGAATATGGCGGGTGGAGTAGCAGCTCCCAACCAAGTACTTTCATTGTATCCTGAATCTATTTTGCTTTGTATGCAAGTGCATTGTCGTGTAACAAAATTACTTTGCCGTGTCATCTGGCTCATTCTGGTCGTTTTTCGATCAATGCATGGTTTAAATTGATCATTTGTTGTCTGTAGCGATAAGTATTAACAGTTTTGCCGAGTTTTAGAAGATCATAATTGCCGAATCGATCTGTTTTTGCAGTCAATGTTGACGGATTAAGCCATGTTGTTCTCCGTTTAGGATTTTTAAAATAAATCCAATTTTCATCGCCAGTGACAATTCGATGCAAAACTGACTTACTTTTCTTTGAAGCAAATTTCACAATTATTTTTTGTGTTTTTCTGAATTCGTTTGCCACTCATTTTTCACACTTTGGATCTATCCCATAGCTTTCAAATGGTCTGAAATTATTTGTTGAGCAACATTTAACATGCTTGCCATTCTCTTTTGACTCAAAGTGTCATCTTCATCCAATATTGCTTGCAATTCGGCGTCTTTAAACTTTTTCAATGGTCTTCCACGTGCCTCATTTCTCACTTCAAAATTATTATCTCTGAACCGTTGAAACTATCTTTTGCATGTTGCTTTTGATATGTTTGACAGATCTCATGGCAACCAAACTGAAAAAAATTATGTCTCGTTCATAACAAATCTTCCCTACCAACACATTTGTATGTAAACGCTCACTTAATACCGGTACGCCTTCGTATTACAAATTAACTTTATTTAGGTACATTCTTGTCATCGGAAATTTCTTATTTTTTATCGATTACTTATATTTTTTCACTTCTTCAATTATACTTTGTAGTTTCAAAGATAAATTTTTATATCTACTATATCAAGCTCTTATACCGGTTTTATGCAACTAATAAATTCAAAAACGAAGACTCAATTACCTTCAAAAATTAAACTAAAGTATTGTACCAACCGTTACAGGCCTACTTTTATTGTCAAAATGTGGCCAGAACAAACGCGAGTGAATTCGTTCAACGACTATCAACTCAGCAGACAAAAAAATTTTAAGGGATATTTACTGAATCAAACAACAAAAACCCCACCCTTTTAATACGATTACAACTTTTTTCACTGACTTCTTTCAACTTGGGTGCCGTCACGGCCTAAAAAAGGCGATTTTTCAATTAGAAAAAAAATTACTGTATTACTGTGTGTTTTTTTGTACATATTATAAATTAATATTAGTTTACATAGTAAACGTGTTAAAGAGAAAAAATTAATTAATTATATATCTCCGATGGCACTTAAACACACTGTTATAGCTATTTTCCGTAATAAAACCTAAAATAAGTTCTCTCATCTACAGCCGGAAAAAACTAAAAATGGACAAAATTGTGGTGGGCCATTGTATGGAGAACTATACAGAGAACATGCGGGAAACATTTGATAATATTCGAATCATTTGTCTTCGAGTGAAGTCAAACAAATCAAAAACTATTTAGGATATCGATTCCAAATATTAGTATGTGACATTTTAAGGAATATCTTATCGTAATATGAAAAACAAAAATGTTTCTTTTTACACTAGTAGACTAGGATTTTCAGAATATCGAATTTTTCTGGTCAGTAGCTTTAGCATGCAAAACTTTAAAATCCTTCTACTCTATTTTTAAAATTAAAATAGTTCTGAAGATAGCGTATGTACTTTACTAGCGGATCTTTTTCCATTAAGATTCAATTTGTTTTTTTAAGACACCACGAATTCCTAGAATCACAGTGTCCTATAGGGGACCTCTATAAAAGTCGACATGTTTTGATGAAATGTAATTATATTTAATTTCTGTTCCAATCATTTTTTCGAAGTAAATTGTCAACATTAGGACTTTTGTAGACTCTTAAACCTATGGCCTTAAGTAAAGTAAATACTAAAACAAAAAATTTTCTTCGTTCTTATGGAAGAGTAGCGATATATAAGATATAATATTATACAGTTAATATCATTATATAAGAACAGTGTTGTTGGAGCAAATCTAGCCAAATTGGTGAATTTACTAAGATATATGTACGTGCATTTCAAAATATTAAATATTTTCAGAATTAAATTTTTTAATCAAATAACTTAAATATGTGCTGATAGTGAGTAAATATGTACAAATGGATTGTAATGCATTTTGTTAGGATAAGAAGTTCGTGGCTTAAGTCTTTCGATGACATTATTTTCACTACAAAACTGGCCAAGCAGAACGATCTATTTTCGGTTACTATATTAATCAAATTATCAAACTAAAGTTCCAAGACAAATAACATATGTACCTACGAAATAATTTAAAAATTCTTGCTTTTTGTCTTCAATGAGGTCGCAGATTCGAAGTTCGAAAGAGATTATAAATTATAGTTTGCAAAACTTAACTTTATGTTTTAAAAATGATTTCGGGCGAGCTTTTGGAGCCGTATGATAGGTAAGAGCTTAGGCTCTTCCAAGCAGTCAATCATCTAAAGCTTATCTGCATAGAATAGCGACTTCCCATAGCACCACAAAACATAGTCCAGCGATGTTAAATCGCACGATCTTTGAGGCCACACCACGCGCCCTCGCGCCCATGATGTGAGATAATGCTCTTACCAAAGCCTTCCTTCAATAAATATTGTTGACTGTATGGAATGTAGCGCCATCTTATTGGAACCAAAGGTCGTCCACTTCAATACCCTCAAATTCCGCCACGAAAAACTTATTAATCATGGCCCTTTAGCGTTCCCAATTGTCTGTAACATTATGGCCGGCTTCACTTTTGAAGGAATATGGACCAATGGTTTCCAGATTCCCACATGTATAAAAGCAGCAACCTTTTTACAAAACACAGACATAAACGCATCTCAAGGATTGTGGCCTGTGTTTTACAATTTTACAAACTCTATAGTGCAATATGAAATAATAATATATACCAAGCATGTCAAATTTTAATATTGACAAATATTTAACCAAAAATTAAAAAATGCTTAATGATGATTTCTTAATCATCTAAAATCAAACAAATAAATATATTTAAAACAGTTATTAAAATACACACACATATTTTTAACCAACACCAATATACTCCCATATAAACAATAATAAGCCGTACAATTTGTCTATCTCCATTGCAGATCAATTTGAGTGTGAAATCGTGCCTCCTGCCTCAATTGGCGAAATCCCCGAGAAACTATTAACCACATCGGGTATTTATCTGCCAGGTAAGTTTCAATCAACACAATATCCGCTCCAATAAATTCGAGCATTTTATTTACCTGCTTTGCATTTAGCAACAAGCCTTTCCGGTCGCTCTGACTATTTTGCATATTTCTCATTAACACTCCACCCGTACTCGCCCATGAATATTGGATTTTTAAACATTCTAAATTGGACTTTCGCTATAAACTTCCAGCTACTATCGTTCCACTCAACTATTAAACCAAATTTGTTATCAATTTGTTTGCCATTCACGTGAGCGCCGACGCACACACTCACATGCGCTCCGTCACGCCAGCACAAATTGATTTGCATTTAATTTGCTTCAAACACACCCAACCGCCAGCTACGCATATGCTAGATTGTTTATGCTTGCCACAACATGTTAATCGCCGCAATAGTTGCCACAGTGGCCGCTGCTGTTGATAGTGATCATGTGATGATCACCAGATCATATCACGTCATCTGCCAAGGCAGCGCAGTACTGTCATAATACAAATTCATGAATTTATATGCGGTGGAAGTGAAATTCTTAAACACCCGGCGCGTGGACTGCATTTCATTTCAGTAGCGTCGTTCAATTTTACGTGCAACACTGCCAAATGACTTTGAATGCCGCCACCATTAGCGTCAACAATAAGTCATTGAAGACGCTCACTGCTTTTAATCCAACTTTTCTAACAGATTAAGCCCACAGATATAAGTGTGTGTTTACAGTAGGCGCTGCTGTCTCATCTACACATTTTAACACATTAACATTTAATTGACCACCCAATGCGCAAGAAATTGCCTGATCGCAAAGTGGCATGGCTTACAGGTGCCAGGTGCACCGCTTTATGAGTGTGTGTGTGTACATAGCTTGGGCATTTAGAGAAGTAATCATAAGATTGTTGTTGCTGATGCTGTTATTAGCACACCCATATGAGTTGTTGTGCGGTTGTTTGTCTAGTTGGCGGCTTGCGGTTATTTGGCTGGGTGGTTGATTGTCGAGCCGCCCGTCTGAGTGAACGGCGTGGTAGCATGCTGTCTGGCCGCAATAATTGTGTCAAGTTCATTTGCAGCGTAAATGAAATAAATTTAATTGACAAGCAAACTACTTGATGGTCGCAGTTTTGTGTTTTCCCTCAGAGAATTTATTCGCATCTCCATGGGTCTACTCGTATTTGAAACTTTTCACTTTTAATAACAAGTGTACTCATCTCTGAGTCTATGCAGTCTAGCGTGACCATTTTAAAGTGCAATCAGTGTATAATTTTTACATGAAACAGGGCAAATGCGAAAAAAAGTTTAAAACTGGAGTAAAAATAGTTTAAAAATCTGTTTGCAACAATTAAATTTGTGTATCTCCAATCTTTGCGAAATCATAACTGCTACTCTGTCTGACGATCTTTTGCACCGAGCGCTCATGTTCTTTATTATGAAAATTGAAGTTAGCAGAGATAACGATAACCACCATCAAACCAGGAAATCTGAGTAATACCTACATCAGTAGACATAATTCCACAGTGAAGCGCCATTTTAGAGTGACACAAACACACAAGTTCAGTTTACTCTAACGCTTTCGGAATTCTGAATATCAAATTTAACCAAAATCATAGAGTAAGCAGTGAACCAAAGTGTTTCGAACTGCAGACAACTTGTAACCGAAAAGGCTAAACATGCGACCATGGAGATAGGTGCCCAAAAAGCAAAGGAAAGGAATTTGGTCCGAAACAGAGAGCCGACTATTCGGTCAGTTGCATTCCAAGCTACCAGGGACCGTGTCCAAGCGTCAATCTGAAATATATTGTCTTGTTATGATGGAAAATAAACGAAGCCATATTCACATTCACGGGATAATATACGTGTGAAAGCTTAAGTACGAACTCAGATTGCTTATCGATCCCTTTCTTCTTCCAATCCTGGCCTACTTATTGACCATCAAAATTGCAATATGTTTAGTACAATAGACCGAACCCCTTATCGTCATCTTCTTTCGACTCCGACTCCTTATTTTTGACTTCTTTCTTCTTTATTACAGAATATTTCTTCGGAACGTATTGAGAAACGGCAATCCTCTTCCATGGCCCATAACCAAGATAGAGTGGAATTTCGAATCTAATAGAAATACAAACATAGAATTTAAATGCAAAGTGGCACGATAGAAAGACAGTAAACATACATATTCTATATCACAACCGGATTAACTTGGCTCTAGATAATGATTTTAATATAACTTTGTGCTCGACATATTTTCTCATAGTGAAAACTTGAGTTACAAACAGCCACTTTTTTAGAAGTGATATTAAATATTATGATTCTTCATGGAATATTTTATTTATATTGGCTTAGTGGAGAATTTATAGTTTAGTTGCGAATATAATTCCCGGTCCATAATATATTTGAAGTGATCAAAATCAAAGGAAAAATGGTAAAATTTAAGGCTTTGGGGTTTTTTATTGAACACAAATATAGGACAAAACTCACCAAGGTTATAGTTTTTGTTATTGTTGTTCTAAAGGACTAACGTAGTCTCAAAATAATCAAAAATATAATAAGAGTCCCATCTTGTCTGGATGCAAATTTTCATAAATTATTGTTACATAGATCCGACTATCGATGAAGTAAACCAACCCGTTTATAGTCAATCATCTGCGATTTACTTTACTGAAGCTCCATTTAATTTTATCTGGACAAATTTCATGCAATATTACTATTACTTAATAAATGTTCTTTACTTCTAAATTAATTTTATTATCTCTCTTTAGGCACCACCGATCTAAACGGCCATCCGATTGTCACTGTCGATGCGGAATGCGTATTGGCAGCCGGTCTAAATTGCTACG